GCGCGTGCCTGTAGTTCCAGCTACTTGGAAAGCTGAGGCGGAAGGATCGCTGGAGCCCAGAAGGTCAAGGCTGCGGTGGCTGGGAGAGGCCACTGCTCTCCAGTCTGGGTGACAGAGTGAGACTCCAACTCAAAAAAAAAGAAAAGAAAAAATGACTCCCCTCCTTGGCAGGGGAGGAGGGAGATTGTGCAGGTGAGGTGCTTTTGCCATGTTTCCCGCCAGGGATACAGTCCCCTCCTCTCATGCCCTGTTCAAACCTCACCTGTGATTTAAGCCTCATCTTTTAGCCTTAGCCCCTTTGAAAGAACTTCCTAGGCTGGGTACAGTGGCTTACACCTGTAATCCCAGGACTTTGGGAGGCTGAGGTGGGAGGATCCCTTGAGGCCAGGAGTTCAAGAAAAGCCTGGGCAACACAGCGAGACCTCATCTGTACAAGAAAGTTTTAAAATTAGCTGGGTGTGGAGGTGCATGCCTGGAGTCTCAGCTACTTGGGAGGCTGAGGTGGGAGGATCACCTGAGCTCAGGAGGTAGAGGCTGCAGGGAACCGTGATTGTGCCACTGCACTCCAGCCTGGACAACAGAGTGAGACTCCAACTCAAAAGAAAGAAAGAGAAAGAGAGAGAGAGAGAGAACTTCCCTGGTCACCGAGCTGTGGGCACTTTGTCCTTTGAGCTACCTTACAGCCGGGAGGGCTGGCTGCCTGACAGCATGACCCCTCTCAAAGAAAGGGTCTCTGGCCCCATGTGGGGAACACTTGCTGAGCACATGGATAGTGTCCTCAACAGCAGGCAGATAAGGAAGCTACTCTTGTTATTTCTTTTTTTATTTTTTGAGTTGGAGTCTCACTCTGTCCCCCAGACTGGAGTGCAGTGGCCGCTCCCGGCCACCGCAGCCTCGACCTGCTGGGCTCCTGCTATCCTTCCGCCTCAGCCTTCCGAGTAGCCGGAATTACAGGCATGCGCTACCACGCCCGGCTGATTTTTTGATTTATTGTAGAGATGAGGTCTCGCTGCCCAGGCGGGTCTCGAACCCGCGGGCTCAGGCAATCCACTCACCTCAGCCTCCCAAAAGCGCGGGATTACAGGCTGAGCCACCGAGCCCGGCTTGGCTCATTTTTTAAATTTAGCGCTGTTAACATTTCCAGGAACTGGAATCTTCCAGTCCCCTTTTGCAGGATGTGGGCACTTTCCAGTGTTGAGTGCTCACAACCCTTGTCTCAATCTTCCAGCAACCTTTCCTACTTCTTCACAGCAATGACTATTGCCCTACTTGTGTGGGGTATTTTATATGTGTCATCCTAGCATATTTCAATAATAATAGTAACCACCACCACAATAATAATAATCAATCAGGAGAAAAAGGAAGAGGGAAGGGGGAAGGTTTACTTATTGAACATCAGGCACTCTTTGAGGGCTTTACAAACTTCTAATATTTTATCTTCATAAACCTATAAAATGTATATATTTATATCCTCTATGTTAGATAGCATAGCCTTTGAGAAGTTAACTTGTGAAGGCTAATGAGATCTCTGGAATCTAAGCTCAGGTTTTTGACACCAACTCCCTTGTTTCTCTTATTTCACCAGTAGTTAAAGATGAATACTTATTAGGTGAATTTGAAATCTTCACCAAACAAGTTGTTTGTGTTATTTGTATCAACCGACTGAATGGCTTCTGCACAAAAGGGATGGTGGTCATTAAATAATACTGCCCAAGGAAGTTCTTCTCAGAAGAAAGTTTAGTTTTGATGACGTTTCAATTAACATAACTTATTTTGTCTTTTCCTCAGGAAACATGCAGCAGATTTCGGGCACTGATGAAAAATGGAAAATTGTTCTGTCCTCAAGAGAGAAGATTTTTTCAAAGCCCTTATGGAATAAAGCTCATCAACAAATGTGCCACATGCAAAATGATAATGTGAGTAAAGTTCTCCTTTTTCTTTCAAGTGTTTGAGTTACAACCTATTCTGTGAACTAGTAAATGTACTTTCTTTTCTTTCAAATGTATTTTTCTAAACCCATGGTTAAATAAAATGATTAAATAAAAATGCTTAACAGATAACTCTGACACCTTCCATCAGATAAAGTTGTTTAACTGCCACCCATCTGGAAAGATGCTAATAATCACTCTAAAACATTCCAGAGTGCCCAGTATTAATTAACACCTTGTGTAGCACTCTGTAGGTTTTTTTTTTTTTTTTTTTGGAGTTGGAGTCTCACTCTGTCGCCCAGACTGGAGTGCAGTGGCCGCTCCCAGCCATCGCAGCCTCGACCTGCTGGGCTCCGGTGATCCTTCCGCCCCAACCTTCCGAGTAGCTGGAATTACAGGCATGCGCTACCACGCCCGGCTGATTTTTTGATTTATTATAGAGATGAGGTCTCACTAAGTTGCCCAGGCGGGTCTCGAACCCGCGGGCTCAGGCAATCCACTCACCTCAGTCTCCCAAAGGCGCGGGATTACAGGCTGAGCCACCGAGCCCGGCTGTAGGTTTTTAAAGATGTATTTCCACCTTGATCTTCCTGCTTCTGGAAAAAAACGGATTTAAGAAAGAAAATCAGATTCCTTGGGCTTGTTAAGAACTGATTCTGTTGCAGCCTGGGGGCTGAGAATATCCACTTGAGAATAATGCCAGATGCTTGTTGTGGCAGCCAACTGGCAGGTTTTAAGCAGGATAGGCTCTGATTTTGGTCTTTGTCAGTGTCTTTATACATCTAGGATTAAGATAGAATGGGATGGGTTAGAAGGCCTATTGTAGCTTCCAACTTCTGGCAACTCAGAAAAATTAGCATCCTGGAAGTATACCAATATCTATTCAGGCTTCTTAACTTAGTTTCCTTCTCCCTAATGACACCCCAAAGGTAAAAGAAGACTTGAGTTGTCAATAGCAAATTCTCAGACCAGAGGGTCCTAATTTGTTTTTGAACAGGGAGGTCATTCTCGATTTTTGACCACTGTCCAAACTTCAACCCTGGTACCAAGCCAATATTAAGTGTACCCACTTAAGATAATTATGCTATAATTGGATTTTTAAATGCAAGGGTGGTATGCATTGGGGATTTAATTTGACATACTTAATAATATTGGGATAATGAAGCTCTGATTATCTGTGCTGTTTCTAGTGGAGAGGTAGTGGGAAAGTAGAGGAAGACAGAACAAGATTTAGCAGAGTGGGAGGCCCAGGGCAAGCTGGAGAATTTTTTCTCATTCCCTTGAAAGCTGAATGTAAATCAGCAGGTATATTATTTACTATAAAATATTCTTTTGTTACATAGGACTTTTTATTAGGAGACCAAAACAGTGAATGTGATAAATTTATTGAAAAATTAAGTAAAATTAAAATGAAATGCCTCAAGGATTGCAAGACAGTTTATTATTTTGGAGTCACTCATTATTTTTTTATCATTTATGTAAATTATATTGGAATAAACTTGGTTTCTTAACCTGGAAAGGAGGCTGTGCTAGGCGTAAATGCTGTTTTTAAGTTGCTGAAGGACTGCCTTATGGAAAAGAATATTGATTTGTTCTGTGGTCCCTAGAGATTGTTATCAGAACCAATACAGGCAGGTAGATTTTTTTTTTTTTTTTTGAGTTGAAGTCTCACTCTGTTGCCCAGACTGGAGTGCAGTGGCACGCTCCCGACCACCACAGCCTCGACCTGCTGGGCTCCGGCGATCCTTCCGCCTCAGCCTTCCAAGTAACTGGAACTACAGGCGTGCGCCACCACCCCCAGCTAATTTTTGATTTATTGTAGAGAGGAGGTCTCGCCAAGTTGCCCAGGCAGGTCTCGAACCCCTGGGCTCAGGCAATACACTCACCTCAGCCTCCCAAAGCGCTGGGATTACAGGCTGAGCCACCGAGCCCGGCCCAGACAGGTAGCTTTAAGTTCAATGTGAATATGGTCTTTCAAAAACTGCATTCAAAGAATCGCGCAGATGACTTTTAGAGTTGGTGACCAACTGACTGTTGAAGTATTCAGGTAGTCTGTTAGGCAGTCAAAGATAGAGCTTCTTGCCTGTATTAACATCATGTTTGCGATATTTTTCAACACTGAGGGAAGATTTGTGGTACTGTGCCCGTTTCTGGACATGCCAAACTGGGCTGAGGAGAGCACTCTCAACAAGCTTACCATGTAAGCTGTTATTCCTCAACGTTGGGCAAGCTGTGTTTAAACTATGCTTACTTCTGGTTCTCTTCCAGGGAAAAAGAAGCCAACTCTCAGAAAAGGGTTGACCATTTAGTGAGAGCTACTGAGAACACTACCCCAACACAGGTGAGACTGTTTGGAGCCGACTGTCATGTTTGCTTTGAGAGGATGTTTGACTCTAGGTGGAACTATCTGCTTATTTCCTAATTACTAGGTCATACCTATTGTGAAGCCAACTACTCAGAAGGGAGGGATCATGGCTTAGTCCAGGAGTGGGCTAAATATCTGGTGCATCTTGTCCATAGGCCCAACCTGTGACCCAACTCCAAAAACATTTTGGGCATTGACTGAAACTAAGAAGTGAAGTGAGCCTGTGTGGTGTCTGCCTTCTGTGGCCATTTCTCTTTCCTCCTGTCCTTCTCAGCTTTGAGGAGAACCTTCCTGAGCCTGTAGAACTGAGCTCACATCTCAGAATTCTTATTCATTGTCTGTATAACTTGGGCAATTTATGCATCCCTGAGTTTCCATTTTATCATCTGTAAAATGAATTGTGAACCAAACAAGAAACTGACTTTTAAAAGCCAAGTACAGTGCTGAACACGTTTTAGCAGGCATCTGACTCTTCTATTTCCTTACTCTTTTCCTTTTTTGCTTCTTACCATATCTTTTCTAATACCTGGAGGGCTCTCCTAATTCAACTAGAGGTGGTTGTTTATATCTATTTTGCAGATTGGGATTCAGGCAATTTTTTTGTTTGAGAAAAGTGTCCTGAGGTTAAAAAAATAAGTGTCCAGTGGTTAGTAAAATAAAAAGAAATAAGCTGCTCAGATTTAGTTCACCATACGATTTCACTTTATAAATATTTTTTATTTATACAAATACTTTTTATTTGTAGAAAATAAAACTAAAAATAATAAAAATATGGGGCCCAGATCGGTGGAAATCTCTGACCTATAAAATTTCATGATTAGGTTATTGACAAAGCTGGGAATATCACCAGCTGCTATAAAGCTGCTTCTTTAATTTTTTTTTCTTTCTCTTCCTCCTCTCCTGGCTCCAACACATAATTAAAATAATCAGTAAGGGTAGGCACACCTTAATTACTTATAACATCCCTGGCTAACTAAGCTGCTGTCATCCTTGCCAGTGTTAGTCAGGAATGTCTAAGAACCCTCCTTGCCTCAGTAAACACAGTCAACTACATCCCTTGACAGAATTCATCCAGTCTCACTTTCAAAACAATAGCACAGGCGCCACTCAATTGTTCAGTAATTGTAAATTCTTCATCTATAGCCAAAGGGAGATACTTTTATACTCTAAAAAGTCTGTGGGGGCCAGAAAGGTTTAGTGACAATGTCATATCTGCTTTTATTTGTCACATTCAGAAAAGCTCACTCTGTAAGCTCCATTCTCTTCTTCCTTCTCTGTCTCTTTCATAAAAGAGTGATATTTCAGTGGCGTTTAAAAATGTAAAGCACAAACAAACAAATATATATATATATATATTCACAGACATCTCAATCTTAACAAACTTATTATTTAAAAAATATAACTAGTTAGATGTTTTTGTATGGAAACACAAATTTATTGAATTTTAATCAAATGGGAGTTTAAAAAAATAAAATTACAGAATTTTAAGCTACTGTATTGTTCTGTTAATGTTTTATGCCTGAGTGATAATTTTTTAAACATCTAGATATAATTCTTATGACAAGATGGTTTGCTACCTAGGAAAATACTTAATAAAGTAGTAACTTACATAAGTAAGTTAAGGCAGTTAATATTTGCCTGTATGACTTTTAGGTAATTTCTGTCTAAATTTTTATTTGTGTTTGAATGGATTCATGCAATTACACTATGTTTTTGTTGTTGTTGCTGTTTTCTACACTGTATAAGAGAACAACCTACCCATAATTTCTGCTTAGGTTCCTCCCATCTAAAAACAGCCCTAGCTGGGTGTGGTGGTTCATGCTTGTAAACATTTTGGGAGGCTAAGATGGGAGGATTGATTGAGCCCAGGAGTTTGAGACCAGCCTAAGGATCATAGCAAGACTTTGTCAGTACAACAAATAAAAAATTATCTAGATATGGTGGTACATACCTGTAGTCCTAGCTACTTGGGAGACTGAGACAGGAAAATCACTACAGCCCAGGAGTTTGAAGCTATGATAAACTGTGATCGTGCCACTACTCTCCAGCCTGGGCTGACAGAGTGAGACCATGGCTCAAAAAACAAAACAAAACAAAAACAAAAACAAAAAATTACCCTTGCTACTCATTCTGAGAATAAGATGCTTCACCTTTCAAGGATTTTTCTCTTAGAGACATTCTCCCTCTCTCATCGATTTCTTTTTCATTAGTATGTCATCCTTTCACTTCCCAACTCCAGGATTCACTTCATCAACAAGTCTTGTCAGTGCTACCTCCAAAGTCTATCCCCAATCTGACTCTTTTTTACCATTTCCATCTCTACCATCCTGATTCAGTCATCTATTATTTCTGATCTCTAATGTCTTTGGTTCATGTGGAGACTTTTTCCTTTTAATTATGAATTCATTCACTCACTGTTTCTCATTATTTAGGTTGACAGCTTTATGGATATTAAGTTCATATGAGTGTATGTGTGTGTTTCTGAATTCTTGATTGTTTTCAGATTTGTTCATTGCTTTAACAGCTAGCATGGCAATCCCATTTCTTAACAGTTGGCTTACTTATACATGAATATGTAGTTTCCATATGCATATTAGAAATAAAAAATTATTGAATTTATAAACCAATTTGAATTTGAACTCAGGATTATTACAGATACAAAGAATTTCTAAATTAATTTGGGGAGAACGGGGCAGTTGATGTTCATTATCATTAATCTATACATTTTAGCAAGTCTGGAAGTCCTTTCTTAGTTTGCTAAATATGTGTTGATTATTATCAAATGTCTTCTCTGCAACTATTATAATAATTTGATTTTTCTTTTTTAGTCTTTCAATATAATACACTTCTTAATGTTAAAGCTATTAGTGTTTCCTTAGAGTAAATCATACTTAATCATAATATATTGTAATGCATTGTCGAATTTAAACAGTAATATTTTATTTAGAAATTTACAATTATGTTTCCTACGTAAAGTGAGTCTATACTTTTCTCTTGTTAATTATTCTTATCTGATTTGGTAATCTACATGAAAATCCCTTGGGCGTGACACTTCAAGTTATGGCTGAATGAGGTCAGCAAATCCTCTCCTCAAAAAGCAACTATAAAGCTAAGCAAAATTGATCAAAACAACCATTTTAGCATTCTAAAAATTGACCATCAGCATATGCCAACCTGAGAAGCATTTATGCTTATAAGGCTTCTTAACTTTGTGGAGAAAAATAGGAGTCTGTGATATTCTTACTTAGGGACAGTCCCATCTCACACCCTGTCTCAGTTGGCATGGAAGTTCTATACAGGGCACGCTATAAGCATCAGCAACTGCATTGCCACTGTTGAAGGGGCTTACCTAATGTGTAGTAGTGAGCATCAGCCATCCCCATAGCTGTTTACAGTGTGTGATGAACTTCACCAAGAGTAAGGAAAATGGTCTGAGGTTGTAGTAATGTTTGGGACAAGTAAGGTGCATATTGTAATTGTTAGAGTGACCAGTAAGAAAATGACATATATAAAAAATATATAAGATCAACAAAATTAAAAAGAAATATTTTAAAGGAAATTAAAAATAAATATATAAAATCAACAGAAGAATTAAATAGAAAATATTTAACTCAAAAGAGGGCAGTAGTGAAAGAATAGAGGGCTGGGCTTGGTGGCTCAAGCCTGTAATCCCAGCACTTTGGGATGCCAAGGTGAGAGGATTGCCTAAGTCCAGGGGTTCAAGACCAGACTGGGCAACTGTTTACAAGACCTCATCTCTACAGTAAATACAAAAAATTAGCCAGGTGTGGTAGCACTTGCCTGTAGTTCCAGCTACTTGGAAGGCTGAGGCTGAAGGATCGCCTGAGCCCAGCAGGTCAAGGCTGCGGTGGTGGTGAGCATGCCACTGCAGTCCAACCTGGGCAACAGAGTGAGACTCCAACTCAAAAAAAAAAAAAAAAAAAAAAAAGGATAGAAAGGCAAAAAGAACAACAGCACATTGAAAACAAACTGAAAATTAGAAATGTAAATACAACCATCTCAATAATAATATTAAACGCAAATTTTTCAATATTCCAATCAAAAGGTAGAAATTGTCAAATGATAGCAAAGCAACTAAAAGCTATTTTTAATAGATGCTCCTTAGATTCAAAGACAAAGAGTTAAAATTATGAAAGAGTGATACCATGCCAAGAGCAATCATAAAAAAAAGCAGGATTGGCTATATTACTATCAGACAAATAGGCATTAAGACAAATATATTTAGAGACAGATGGGGATATTTTATAACTTTAAAGCCATCAGGAGATAAAACATGTATACACACCTAGTAACTGAGACTCAAATTTTGTTGTTGTTGAGTTGGAGTCTCACTCTGTCGCCTAGACTGGAGTGCAGTGGCCGCTCCCAGCCACTGCAGCCTCGACCTGTTGGGCTCCGGCGATCCTTCCACCTCAGCTTCCAAGTAACTGGAATTACAGGCATGTGCTACCAAGACCGGCTGATTTTTTGATTTATTGTAGAGATGAGGTCTTGCCAAGTTGCCCAGGAGGGTCTCGAACACGCCAGCTCAGGCAATCCACTCACCTCGGCCTCCCTAAGCGCTGGGATTATAGGCTGAACCACCAAGTCTGGCCGAGACTCAAATTTATGAAACAAAAAAATGCTATCATTGAAAGAAGAAATAGACAATTCAACAATAATAGTTGAGAAGGCCGGGCTTGGTGGCTTAACCTGTAATCCCAGCACTTGGGGAGGCCAAGGTGAGAGGATTGCCTCAGCCCGCAAGTTTGAGACCTGCCTGGGGAATTTGGCGAGACCTCGTCTCTACAATAAATGAAAAATAGCCAGCGTAGTAGTGCGTGTCTGTAGTTTCAGCTACATGGAAGGCTGAGGAGGAAGGAGCCCCGGAGCCCGGCAGGTGAGGGCTGCAGTGGCCGGGAGTGTGCCACTGCCCTCCAGCCTGAGTAACAGAGTGAGACTCCAACTCAAAAAAA